AAGCTATCGATTTGTTGATGCCAGATATTTTGTCATACATATATTATGAACCGACTGCAGCGGCAGCGTCTTGTAATTTTCTTGCTTTCATTTTTTGCATAAACATTTTTTTTTGTAAACATACATATAATACTTTCTTAGATTTACGCGAATACTTGACATTTTAAATAAAACTATCTTTTCGGATTTTTTCGCGAATTTATTTTGATTTTTGTTTGGCAATTTCATTTTGTTCGTTGTGGGTAGGCTGTCTGTAACAACTATACGTTCAAGACATGTGACCTCAGTCTCTCCCGTGACCATGAATGCTGTAAAGCATTCGAAACGTCGGGAACCAAAAATCAAAATAAATTCGCGAAAAAATCCGAAAAGATAGTTTTATGTAAACATACATAATTACATTATTAATTGATTTATTATTTATTTTAATCGATAAATAATAGTATATAAATTACCTGGTTGATTAAAAATAGTTTCTGATAACACTCGTAAGAACAGTATCGTAGGGATGTTATTAATTGAACTAGACTGCTCTGTACTTTTAAATGACTTGAGACGACTTCCTGTTCACAACACTACAACTGATTGATGACAGTTTTTGCGATTTTCGTATTAGTACTGCGTCGCGTCACTAGCGCACTCTTATAAAAAAACCTATAGAAACAGCATTCGCAGTTAGAAATTAGAATTTTTAAATTAGCAATGTACTGAATTCCAAATATATATAACGAATAACTCGGTGAGTAATTTTAATATCCATTCTCCTTGGAATATGTAACCAATTTTAATCTTTATTTACCATATTATATAGTGCGATAAGGAATGAACAAATAAAAATAATTAGAACATATTTAGTTAGTCCATATTATTATAAGTTTTTATAAGTTTCCAATTGGAGTACTTACACGTGTTGAACATAAACAGATCGATACACTCTCCATACCTACATGAAAAGTTTGCTGTACGTATAGTTTCTGAGTTTCACCGATGTATGTATATAGATATGTACATAGTACAATCATGTTTTAGGCCCAGGTATAAAATATTTTACATAACCAAAGGCAAGTCATTATTCAACGAACATTCATTTAAATTTATTTAAATACGCTCATGTTTTTCACTTTTTTTGTAGCTTCACTTTTGCTACAAGAGTTCAAAACAATTTTTTGTGCTCAGGAAATATGTAAATACAAATGATTAAATAAATATTTTTATTTATTTTAGCATAAATTATTAAAATAGTTTGTTGTTTATGATATTTTTTATAGAACATTTATATGAACAGAATATATAATTGATGACACAACAAAATATTACAAAATAAATGATTAAAATTAATGTATTATATGGTTGTAAAATTTATCTAGTAGGTATTCCACCTCAACATGGTAATTAATAATTATCAACTGCCATTAGTTTGCCGCGTATTATTTTTATTGTCAGATGTCAGATAAAGACATACCTTACAGTTAGTCACAGCAACAAGTCCACGGTCAACACACACAAACTAAAACACAAAATCAAACAATGCCAACTTTGTAAACACTATTCACGCACACGCGGTCGAAACAAAATCCAGTTCCGGGAAAAAATTATTGTTTTAACAGAAAACCAAATAGTTTTAAGTCTTTATCAAAATAAAACTTATGTAACACTAGAATTGCAAAGTTGCCAGTGAAAGTTTCCGCGATAATGCTATAACAACAAAGAGGTTATGTTATTGTTGTGGTAAGCGACCGTCATCTCCCCACGAGCTCTACTTTATTACTGAACTGAATACTGATCTGAAGTGAATTGCGGCCTGCGAAACGGTTTCGAACGAAGATGACGTACACAGTACACTTCGTCCACGTCGCATTCCCGCGCGATTACAGATTGTGTACTTTGTTTTTCATGTGTCGTACGAACTTCATGGACAATTTTAACAGAAAAAAAGATCGAAATTTTATAAACTTAATTAGTGATGTTACGTTGCTGTCATGTTTAAAAAAAAAACAAAACGTAATAAAATTTACGTAAAAACCGGTACCTATATTGTTTTCTTGTTTTATTTGGTTTAACGTAAGTTTGTGGCTTTTACTTAAGGCTAAACAATATTGGCCTACAAGTACCCCCATTTATTTATTGATACACTTAATTGTACACTAGCGACTCACCCTCGCTTCGCTCGGGTTCGTCCCTAGCATGGTTCCCAATACAAACGTTTATCCCCATTTTCACCCGCTTAAGGGGTTATTTCCGGGATAAAAAGTATCCTATGTCCTTCCCAGGGTCTCAAACTATCTTCTTACCAAATTTCATCTAAATTGTTTCAGTAGATCCAGAGATTAGCCACTACAACCTCACAAACTTTACCTCTTTATAATATGTATTATACTCCAACACAGCTGGAGACTCCAAAACAACTGGAGCGATTTTGATGAAATTTTCAGGTAATCTTCAGATTAGCCAAGCGGATGATCCTGTGAATTTTGTTAGCAATCGGAAGTTTAGACGCGGGCGAGGCCGCGGGTACTGCTAGTATCCATATATAATATCTGTAAACTTACAAATATGAAAGTTTAGAATGTATAGGATGTTTGGATGTTTCTTACTCAATCACGCAATAACTGCTGAACGGATCTGGATGAAATTTGGCACGGAGATAGATTGTCTGGAATAGCACATAGGCTAATTTTTATCCCGGATTTTAAAATATTTAAACGTTCTAACGTTTTATATGAACAGGCAAACAAAGAGTTGCTTAGAATAGGAGTGCTAAAAGAATTTACTCAAATATACGGGTAGGTATTGTTATCATCAAATTCGCTAAAAATATAAACCTATTTGTATGAACTCCAAGAAAATCAAACATCTATATTTTTTTAAATAAGGCTATATTGGATTAAACAACACACAGCAGAATTTGTTAACATAATTTTGGTACGAATGGGAAGCTTTCTTTATTTTCCTAGAAATGATTAATTAAAAAAAAATAACAAGTAAATTTTTCGAAAAATTTAAATCATTTATTAATTATCTTTTTGCATTTTTCAAAAATTTAATAATTAAAAAAATAAACTTTATCAAAACTTTACTCATATAATGCAAAATTTTAATAATAGGGCGGCATTTTTTTACTACGCCCAGGGGCGGCGCTAAGGTTAAACTCGGCCCTGGACCAAGATAAAGTTTGGTCTAAGTGAACACCAAGATCTTTAACGGTTGAGCAATAAAATATATCAGTCCCATCATACTCTATCGGAAGTAAGTTCAAGCCTTCAACCCTTACAATCAGGCTTGGGCTACCGATAATTATCAGTGTCTTACCAGGATTGATGTTACGGCCGTAAAGTTTGCTCCAGTAATATGTAAATTGCCTGTAGACCACTATTAATCGTGTTGATGGTAGTATTCACCATTTGGAGTCATCTAAATAGAAATTTAGAGTTTACAGAATGTTACGTATACCTATACACGTACTGTGTTATATGTAGTGTGTATTCAAGATAACAAATACCTCTTGAGCGTAGTTTACTCGTTTCCCGGATCCCAATAAATCTAAATAGTCTAAAGTAATTACGTTGAAATTCAAAGAAATAAACTATTTATCCACGTACTTAATACTCACGTTGTTTTTGTAAGGCCACATACATTTATCGTAACATTATGATACAAATAATTGCAGTAAACAAAATACTAATAATGTTAATTTATTGGTAAGTGGTAAAAAGATGTAATACATGGTATACTAGGGGCATATACTGGCTTTGTTCGGGTGCGTCCCTAGATATGTTTTAAATACATATAAATAGTCATTGCGAGCGTCCTTTAGCTGAAAAACTTAATCCCGATCCCTTGCACTATGAAAATGAAAAACAAATCTATACGACGCGAACCATACATTTTTCCGGGATCAAGAGTAACCTATTTGTTATTCCAGACTATTACCTATATCAGTGCCTTTCATCCAGATTCGTTCAGGCGTGTACGTGTGATTCGCATATAATATAATAGTAACATTTAAATATGCATTCGATATTTAGAAGTTTTTCAGCATTCGCAGCTTAAAACTTTAGAAAAGAAAAAAACAAAATATAGGTTTGCGTTTGTCTATTAAATTAAATTTAGTAACTATTTTATGTTAAAATGTCTTATACCAGATCAAAGGATTAATATTAATATTTATTACGACGATTATATTCTTTTTTAAAACACCTTGTAGATAGTCAATTTGGCTAAGCCCTCTGGAGTCATGCCGTGTGCGAGAGTGTATTAGCCATTATGAAGTGGTTCTTAAAAAATATTTTTTTCCATAAAATTGTTTTTTTAAGTACATATTTTAATGTACAATTTTGATTATGTTACCAAGTTATATCACAATATTACCTACTTACGTAATATTTTTACAGCTTTTTACTTTTTCGAAATTTCGCAACACTTGTATTGATTATCATTTTTGTTGCAAAATTTCACTTGAGATATTATATAGACATGTTTTAACCCTTTAAGTATTTTCGTATCTAAATATACACAAAACATTTAAACGCACATTACATAAAATTCAAAAGTCGCGCGAACGTACTCCTCTTGCCGTTCGAGTTATCAACCTACAACAAACCGAGAACGCAATACGTCACGCCACGCATACTATCTCTTTCTCTCCAATCACAGCAAGAAGTTAGATGGTTCGCGCCAAATCTGAGTAATGGTGGACGTTTGTTAAAATTTTGTTAAAAGTAGTAGTAAAAGTGGATAAACTGTAAATATTTTATTGTTATATTATTCGAAAAGGATCCAATTATAACAAGTAAGTGTTATTTCATTATAAAATTATGTTATTTTACGAATACTGAAGGATCAAAGTATTTGTATCTAAATAGATACTTTGCGACTTACCTCTATATATCGATTTTATTACTTATGTATCTAAATAGATACTGGGCGTCATTCCCGGTGATTGGCAATTTATTTGTTTGTGTCCAAAAAGATACAACGATACTTAACGTTTGTTACAGAAAATGAAGCGAAGTTCGAGGATTTCAAGAATCTTGGCCATGGTACCTCCAGCTGACTCAGGGTCCGAGGATTCTGACTTAGATTTAGACCTGTCGTCAGACGCTCCCGATATCCCAAATGAGATTATGGATATATTCGAACAATCTGATAGTGGAGATGACTCCTTACCATCACAAATGTTACCGCCTTCACAGGAATCCTCATGGTTACCCGAAGCACCAGCCGTGTGTGTTACGATCCCATCATCACCTTCTCTTGTGTCAGTAAATCCTTCACCCGACACATCAGAAACTGTACAGTCGCCAAGAACGCCAAATACAATTTATTCCAATACTTCTAGTCTTCTGATACCAATTGCACCCAGACTCCTACGCTCACGCAGATCAGTAATTCAAAACCAAAATAACAGAACAGAACCATTATCAAGCACACAACGAGAAGACCTAATTCAACCCCGGACTTTTGGTGTTGAAGTTCAGCGTACAAGAAAACGAAAAAAAGAACGCATGGATTTTAATTTTAGATCTACAAAGTTTATGTGGCATGTGGACAGGGAAACAAGTGTTGACAGTTTATTTCAGGAACAAGTCACTGATATTGATACTCCATATCAATACTTCAAAAGATTGTTTGACGATGAATTGATGGAATTTATTTGTTATCAATCAAACCTTTACTCTACTCAAAGTACAGGAAGATCAGTTGATATGACAAAAGAAGAATATGAAAACTTTCTAGGTATTGATATGCTAATGAGTATTGTCGGTATGCCTTCTTACAAGGATTATTGGTCACATCAATTAAGATATGACAAAATTGCTTCTGTGATGCCACTGAAAAGGTATCAGCTGTTACGTAAATACATGCATTTTTCCGATAACAGCAATGTAAGTCCCAATGATAGATATGGCAAAGTGAGACCTATCATGGAGCACATAAGAAAAAATTGTTTACGAATAGAGCCTGAAAAAAGTTTTTCTGTTGACGAGATGATGATTCCGTACAAAGGGACAAGAGCTGGATCAAGAAGGCAGTATATTAAAAATAAGCCTCATCCTTGGGGGTTTAAGTTTTTAGTCAGAGCTGGAGTATCTGGCATAGTTTATGACTTTTTCCCTTATGCTGGTGAAACAACTTTTGATGATGTGAGTTTTACGGACACTGAAAATAAATATTTCGGACTGACAGAAAAATGTGTACTGCGCTTGGCGAAAACTATTAAAAATCCAGCTCTGACAACCTTGTTTTTTGACAACTGGTTCTCTTCTCTTGAACTTATATCCTATCTGAGAAGTGAGTTTGGCATCCTATCGTTAGGGGTTATCCGTAAAGATCGTTTGAGAGGATGCAATATAATATCGGACAAAGATTTGCTAAAGAAAGGAAGAGGAAGCTACAAGGTTATGGTCGATAACAATAAGAAGATAGCAGTGACTAAATGGGCAGATAATAAATGTGTTACTTTAGCTAGTTCATATGCAGCAGATAACAGAGAGACATTTGTAAAAAGATATTGTAAGGCCTCTAAGGGCAAAGTAGATGTCACATGTCCAACGGTTATATCAGAATATAACCAGCACATGGGTGGTGTGGACTTGGCGGGAATGTTTGTGTCTCTGTATCGAACAGGCAGTAAAAGTAGGAAGTGGTACAAGAGAATATACTACCATTTAGTGGATATTTGCGTCAACAATTCTTGGCTAGTATATAGGCGACATTGCAAAATGTTGAATGAAAAGAAAGTGTTATCTCTTAAAGATTATAAATTAAGCGTTTCGTACACGCTTTTACAAAAAGGTAAAATAGTGAGTAGAATGGCAACTAATTCGGTGAAAATTAAACAGCCCGTTGTGCCAAGGCCCGAAAAGGATATCCGCATTGATGGCTTACACCATATCCCTACTGTTGGAAAGAAGGGTCGGTGTAGGAACTGCACAACGGGTCAGACAGTTATTAGTTCTCTAAAATGTGAAACAAGGCTATGTCTCACAGAAAAACGTAACTGTTTCCGTGAATTTCACACCAAATAGTCTATCAGGGCTCAATAATTTTATTTTATTTACTTTTAACCGTTGATCTCACAGAAGTTCCTATTCATGTTAACTATTTTTTATTGTTAAGAGCTAATTTTTGTTTATAGTTAATAAGCCCTACAGTCATTTTGTGTATCTTTAGATACGAAGTTCGCACTAACCTATTTTGTATAATTGTGTTTTTGTATCTAAAAAGCTTCAATCTGAAAACTCAGTATATTATTCCTGAAAAAATATTTTTGGTTTGAATTATGTTTAAAGTATTAAAAAAAACTGATTTTATCTAGTTTTTATCTTATTTAACCATCCCAATAACTTTTTGCTCCATAAAGGGTTAATGTTTACGAAAAATAACACTCAAAATAGTAATAAAAAACCATTTATGTATCCAAATATTGTTATCAGTAATCATTTATTTTGTTACTTTGTGACCTTGTGATCATTTTAATAAAACAAACAAGTAAATTATATAACTCGAGCGACAGTCGAAGGTACAAGTTGTACGTACAAGTTATCTAGTCGCAGTAAGTGAAACATGAATCTATTATATCTAATGCCTTTGATTGCGATTATCATTACTACATATGATCACAGTAGGTAATCTTTTATATGTAAAAGTTTGCGAGTTAGTACCTAATTCTTCATGCCTAATCACTAATGGTTCTACTGATTAGAATGAAATTTGGATTGAACGATACACACATTATTACTCGATTAACACATACTTCATACTTTTTATTGACGTGATAAAACAATGCCGTTCGCATAACGAAAGAAATAATATAATCATATTTAATTGAAAGACTTTTATACACACGATCTGATATTGACGACTTATGTTTTATACCTCTTATTTCATGGCTGTAAAATACACTGTTTTGATAAGGCCTCTTTTGTTTTTTTTTTTAATTAAAATATTTTTTTATTATAGGTACTGTTAAATCAAGCAAACAGGCACGCAGGCTTTAGAGATTATTTACTTGTTTAGGTACATTAATGATGAAAGTACTAATCACAGGATTGTATCGTCGCGTCGCATCGTCGGATGTATCAACAGTCCTATTTAAAAAATCTTTTTACATAATACTTTCTTAGATTTACGCGTATACTTGACATTTTAAATAAAACTATCTTTTCGGATTTTTTCGCGAATTTATTTTTATTTTCCGACGTTTCGAATGCTTTACAGCAATCATGATCACGGAAGAGACGAAAATGACAAATGGCACCAAAGTACCTTACAATATTTTAACTTTTAACTTTAAACATTTTTATATAATTTTAATTAGTTTTATAAGTGAATATGCAATATTGTTTATTTAATTTGAGCTGTTATTATTATAATTATTACAATTACATACGGACCCATCTTATATACATACATATTATAAATATAAACACCCATGACTGGAGTACAAACATTCGTGATCATCACATAAATGAATGCCCCCAGCGGAAGTCAAACCCGCGACCGCTGGAACAGCAAGAAAACAGTAGCAACATTGAATTTTATTATGTACTTTCTTTAAAAAAGCAGCAAATTAAAACGTATTACGTACAAATGCGTTTTGATTATGGAGGGTAGAAGTAAGGAGGACCATCTCAGTGTATTAAAAAGTGTCTGTTGAAAGTGAGCAAATTAAGGTGGCGCTATAGTAGCAAGTGGAAGAATTTTAAAAGGACCGCCACAAATTATTAGAGTGGGATACTAAACTAAAAAAGGAAAGAAAAATTTCCGCTTTGTTACAGCGTATTTTTTAAACTATTATACTATACAGACAAACATGATATGGAATAAAATTATACAGTATTTTAAAGTACCCCAATTATTTGTAAATAGCAAATAGAAAATAGTATTAAATAATAACCAAAATTAAAAAAAAAATAGATAAAATTGTAACAAGCAAATTTTCAATCATTTAGGCAATCGCATGCTGAAAAAAGGTAATAGAGGTTTCATAATTATTATCTTAATGTAGAAATCACCAAAACAGGTCTAACAGGCAATCAATAGATATTTATTACTAACAGTACAATATAAAAGAACTGTAAAAATATAAAATATAAAACCATCAAAATAACAAAGATGTAACAACAAAATTTCATAAAAAACAAATCACTATGTACGTTTTTTCAGGAGTTTCACAGGTTATTATTTACTAAATTACAGTTGACTACGTAAATGGTTGAGATTTTAAATACTGCATATTTCTTAACTACAGAAGTTAAAAAAAATATTAAATTTTTCAACCCAGCACACTTCACTCTGCTTATAACTGCTAAATTCATATCATTTCTATTTCCTACACTAGCGCTATTTCGGTGAGTGTTCGAACAATAACATGTTGTTCACAAGTGGACACTTTTTCAACTAATCTCCCATACAAGATGGCCCTCCTTACTTCTACCCTCCATAGTTTTAATATAAAAGCTATCAAAACTCTATTTTGTTTAATATGTGTATGGTGGCTAACTGGCATTCATTGACGTTACGTCTCTGTTCCTAGGCCAATAGAGGCCGGAATACTTAGAATATACATAAACTATAGAGCGCGCTAGCAAGTATGAACTGTAAGCACGGGTATGAACAGTCTCGAAATAGCAAGGACGACGCTATTAGTCACGAAAAGTCAATCGAGCCGACTGTTTCTCTCGTCGGTATTTATTTGAATTTATGTAAACATGGGGAAATGTGCAGTTCCAAGCTGTAAAAATGATTCACGAAACCAAACTAATATGAATGAAGATATTTATTTTCATCTGTAAATAATATTTAATCAGAAAACGCTGATTTTAATAAAATTACACAGGCGTGAGCACCCGCTCACGTTGCGGAAGGGGCGCGGGACACAACACGTACTTCCGCGCCCTCCACTTCTTAGTTTCCCTCATTAAGAGCTAGTGTTGTACCACGTTGTACTACTCGAATATTTTGTAAAACCATAGTATTATAAATTAAGATTCTTTGTATTTGTCAAAAATAAAACCTTTAAATTTTAATGGCACCAAAGTACTTACAATATCACTTAATTTTAATGATAAACATTTTTATAATTTTATTAAGTTTTATAATTGCATGGAATATTATTTATTTCATTTTAGCTGTTATTATTACAATTATCGCATTTTTTTAGAAACCCTTATTAATTAGTCATCTTGCATTCATGTGAAAAGTTAAAGAGAATAAATAATATATAATTTTAATTTAGTGTACTATTATAAAAAAAAAATCAAAATATTAAGCAACTATTACTTCGTAGATTTACAAATGAAAGATATTAATTTGAAATACTGTAATTTTAGATAATAAAGTCTATATGTGCTTGAATAAATGGTTCTGTTAAATTGTTTATGTCAATATACTTCTTTTTTAATTAAATTATAAAAGTTTTACTAGGCGCATCACTATTCAACCGCTTCATCTATAAGTATGTATCAATAAGTGTTTATAGAACATCAGCTGCTTACATTTCTCATAATGGACAATGAGCGATACGCGCGCTCTATAGCATATGTATACTCTAAGCCAGAATACAAACACGAACTCACAAGTAAATATACAGCCGTTTGTGTTATTTTACCGTTTCTGATTTACGCAAGAAAATGGGTTACTAAGTGTTTAGTGCCAGTGAAGAGTATTTTCATTGAATTGAAGCAATATTGTTTTTATTTTATTCTCTAATAAATATTAATATAATTCTTTTAATATATAAATATCTCACGTGTCACGGTGTTAGTGGTCGCACTCCTCCGTAACGGCTCGACCGATTTTAATGATTTTTTTGTGTATTTCGTAGGTATGAGAATAGGTCGTAAAGAAAAAAAAATATTATGTAGGTTATTATTTTGTAAAATATGTGGTTTCCTTTCGCAGCCTTGTCTATGGACAAAAATGACTACACTTCAATGGTCGTTGCTGCATAGAATTTCTGTATAGTTTGTGGTCATTGCTTGCATTTTTTGTCTGTGCTTGCTTTGTTAAAGTTTGTGTGGCAACTAAAAGTGCCAAGTTGATTTGAACTTAACTGATTTTTATTACAATTCAAAAACTAAATCAAATAGCTCTTTAACTAGTTAGAAAAATGAATAAAAGTGTGCAATGGACGGGTGGAATTGAAGAAGAGTATGAAACACAACATTTTGGATTTGGGGCTCAAAGATTAAAAATTGCTATACGTCAAATGGTTGAGCAGAAAATACGGACTGGCATAAAGGATATGGAGTTATATCTTCAGCAATCTTTAGATTTAAATGACAAAGATAAATTAACAGTAACACGTTCTTGTGATAAACTTATAAATTTATATTTTGAAAGGGCTGGCCCTTCATTGGAAGCAGTAGATTGCGAAATTGAGCGTATACTTGACATACCTGAGAATGTGCTGTTACCTGAAGATGAAGTACAATTAGAGCAGATTTCAGACAAAGAATATGATAAGTTAAGAGAAGATGTAGCATCGTTAAGAAAACGAGTAGAACGTGGGGCTTTAATGGAAGCTTTATTGACTGCAGAAGAAGAAGAATTGTCTTCTGCTGAAAAGATATGTGAAATTGCAATCAAGGATATGGAGGTATTAGATATGTTACAGAAAAGCGTAAAACATAGTGAGCAGATTAAAACTATCCCTAGTGAAGTTGAATTTTTACGTGCCAGTATACCAGTTACTAATAATTATGATCATTTTGATATAACTGAAGACTAGACTGTCTCATCTTTTAATCTTTAAGAATATTTATACTCAATTGTAGTTGTTATGGATTATCTGCCATTGATAACATCATAATACTTATGTAACACAACAGTCATTTTATGGTGTTTGGAGGTATAGTTGTTACACTGTCAAAATATACAATAAATTAATCTGAAACAATCATATTCAATAAAACACTGTAAACAGTTACTTTTTACTGTAAAAACACAACTTACAGAATATTCTTTCTATAACTAAAATTGGAATTAACATCATTGTCATTTCTAAGTTTTATGTACACTAATAACATTACATATTATTTAGATTTGAGTATACATTTAACAATATCATGAGTTTAAAATCCAGTCAAAATCTTGGCACGACTAATATTTTAATACATATACCTACTATGCTATAAACAAAATTTAGATTAAAATAGAAAGAAATCATTGTTCAGTGAGCACATGATTGTACATATACATATATAATTTATGTTATTCTTCTTTTTACAAATGTAATATGGATAATAATAATTGTCTTTGCAACAAATTAAAAAAAAGGACTGCAATTTTGCTGGTTTATGAATATTTTATGATCTGGTTTGTGCACAAATAAATATGTAAAATGTGATTAGAAAATAACAAAATATTACAAGTAATAAAATATTAATGAAATACATATACATATGTAGGTGCTAGGCTTATAAAATAATGTAGCGTAATATTATGTATATTTTCACATCATAAAACAGCTATCTATATACTATTTACTTTTATTGATATCACATTGAGGCTTAATCTACAAAAACATCTATAGATCAATGAGCTCGGCTTAGCCAAAGCACTAAGAAGACCAAACATTAATAACAATTTAATCAAAATTATCTCTAAAATTGAGATATTCACTTAGTATGTATGTTGAATCAAGAAATATTAACGAGCAACAAAACTTAAATCTTAACAAAAAATAATTCCTATATTTTGCTTAGAGTTTATAGTTTATACCATTAAATTACAATCATGTTCTTAAATATTGACTAGAATTAAAAAAGAATAGGTAAAAATTCTCCAACATTTTTAAGTAAATAAAGTTTATCAGCAATACATTAACAATTATTTTAATTAAATTACATACACAATAAGTAGTCTGTAAATATATTTGGTAAATGCAGTATTTCATTTTCACTAATATGATAATAAAATTATAAAGAGATGTAACTAACATTTAAAAAAATAATTGCCTTCTTAAGGTGTCTAGCTATACTTATTTAAAATATTAAACAATACTAACAGACTTATATTTGTATTTCTGAACTATTGACTTTCAATTTGAACTTTAAATAAGTTTTCTATAGAATCTATATAAATGGGGCTGCTATAAGTCCTACTAAAGGATCTTTTTTGGAAAAAATATAATTTAAATATACAATTTTGTAAATATTATGGCATATTTTTTAATTTTGGCATTTGAATGACCTATACATTAAGTATTTTTATGAAGGATGTAAACATAAATAAATTCTCATCTGTGATTATAATAATTTTATAAAATAACATTTCTATTTATTAAAGAAAATAATAATTTTCAACAAGATTATTACTTAGCTTTTGTTGAAGGAAACCTGCATGTCTGAGAGGATCTGGTAAGTTTTCAAAAGACATGTAAATTCTACCAACCTGCGCTTGACCAGCGTAGGGGACTATGGCCTCAACTTCTTTATATTGAAGGAAGCAGTGGGATGTTAAAAAGGACTGAATTTCACACATACATTGTATTGTACACTTTTTAGAATACATGCTTTATAACTTAATGTATACAAAATATGTCAGTTACATCTATAAAAATTATATGATTAAGGTACTTAAATTATTGAAATGTCAAATTTGTAAAATTTAATACCTGCATTATATATTTTTAACATTTTTAAACATAACATATAAGTTTTTATTGTCTGTCCTTGGATGAACACACGCCTAACATTTAAAAAGTCTTATTATAATACAAAAATATTATTTATTTAACTTAAAAAGCATTTTCGATTTCTAATAATATCTTTTCCTTTGACTACTTAGATAATTATTAATTATATCGAGTAAGCAAAACCAAAGTTGATAATTTTTTAGCAATAGTAATGAATAAAAAAGACTAAATGATCATACTGATTTATACTGTGAGAAAGTTATTTAATATTACAAAATACACGCACATTCTAACATCATTGAATAACATACATTACACTTAAATTATATTAAAATTTATTTTAATTCCATAGCAAAAATAAACTTGAGATTTATTTAAAAAATTAATTGATATGAATATCCTCTCTCAAATTTACATGTACTTTCGCAAGTTATTTAAATATTTTTATTTTTTGTCTAGCAATTAGCATCTGGCTGCTAACATTGTTACTCTAATTACTAAAAAACTGTAACACGGTACTTATTTAATTGTTCTTTCTATCAGTTATTAGGCTTTTATCAAGCCCCGTAATTTTGTTAACTTTAAGAATATAGTTTTATATGAAAAAAGTACGCCACGCCAACTTTAAAATCACACAAGTAATTCTAATTTCGGCCTTGGATGGTAGTATTTTTACAATTTAAATAAGACATCTTTAGAATAAAAAAAATAGGGCGGGATTGTGTCGGGTCACACCGCCGTTGGTTTAACGTGAACTCTATTGAAATAGAATGATTGAGTCGCAAATTGCAATTTTATCCAAGTTACACGTTTTTTTTAAATCGATTGGTCGGAATAAATTCTATGAACAAAAAAATAAAATCATGAGTCATGAGGTACACCGAATAGAAAGGAGCGAGAACGGCGCTTATAGAAATATTGAGTATATATATTATGCATATTTGAAAACAAATTAGTAAAAAATATAGTAATCTTTGAAGATAGCAACGGAAAAAATCTCTAAGGTGAATATTATAATTTATCACTTATAAATAAAATTAAAAAGAATACTGACTAGTGACAGTGCCTATATCCGTATTTCCGTATGATTTATTATTTATAAAAATTACAAGTATAAACGTGAAAGTTTGTGAGTATGGATGTTTGTTACCCTTCCACGCCAGAACGGCTGAACGGATCTGGATGAAATTTGGCACAGAGAAAATTAGAGAATAGACTGTGGTGCCATAATATTAAAAATAATAGTTGTCTATAAAATTAGGGGACAATACAAAAAAATGTAAAATAAAATACAAAGAGAAAGCTGAAAGTACTTATTTGCGCTTTATGCTTAATTAAATAATTTTAATAAATTCATTTTGAACATCTCATGCTCTACTCGTCATCGATTATAATTTTTCTTAAATCGAGCTTGAGTAAAATTTGTTTTACCTACTACTTAGGTATTTGTATTAAAATTAATAATAATAAATAATTAAAAATAATAAATATTGTCTAAGTATAAATTTTTTTTATTAATGTAGCTTCGGCAGTTTTGAATTCATTTAAAAATATATACTTAAAATTATAGTTGTTATTGATTTTTAACGTAGTTTTCAATGTTAATAATTTCTTATTGTAGAGCACCTTGTAGCATTTTTAAATGCATAGCGTAATATTAATAATCGACGTAGCATAAAAAAAGTTAAAAATAATAAAAACATTTTAAATATAAGTTATGCTTTATAAATTTAAAAATGGCGCGACTCAGAATGACGTCGAATTTGTGTTTTATAAAGATTAAATTATAGATATAATATCAAATATTTTGTACATAAAAATGTCTTCAAAAAATGTTGCTTACAAATAAAAAAACAGAGTGCGTTGAAAAGTACGCTTCAAAAATCAGAAAATACTTTAGAAATATGACAAGAAGTTGGAAGTTCTATCTATAACTCTCGCATATCCACACATTCAATAGTTTACCCGTTTTATACCGACAACAAATATTTTACAATAACATCAACAATTGATATACACTATGAATCCGCTCTCGATGTTGTACCTATCGATTGTCTCTACGTTCGATAAAATATACTGAAAGCAAAAAATACTGCTTTGTAAATTTCTTAGCACTTTTAAGTTCGCATGTACCTAAGAATCAGAATCTTTTGTATTACTTACATACGAGCTTAAAATTTAATGTTAATTATAAAGAAAAGTTTGAAGCTGCCTTTAACATACCATATAAATAATCTGACATTTTCATCAACAAACATTATAGGAATAGCAGTGTTAGTAATTCCAGTATATACCTACTTCATCGAACGCTATGATCTAACATTCATTTCACACATGTACGGCTTTGCGTTTAAATGGTTTCATAGTTTCAGACTATAGTTAAGTATGTAGGCATTAAATATAAACGTTTTCACGCGATGCCACGATCGTGCCGTCCCTTTTTTCCGATTGCGGCGAAGTCTAAAAAGAGGGTAATGTTGCCATAGTAACAGCAAATATATAGGTATATTTGCTGCTACTCTGGCAACATTACAAAGATGCATGCCTCCAACTACATAATATTATGTATATGAATGTCCATAGACCCTATGTAAAATTATTTACATCTTTTTAGTCGCTTTTTCAGTTTATTTTTTTATTGCCTACATCATATACCTAACCATCACGAAACCGATAATGTGTGAAAGGGCTTAGCTGTACTTACTTAGCGGTTTCAATGTGAATCAACATTATATAATATAAATACTGCAGTATAAAAATCCATACAGTATGTGATCTTTGTCAAAAATATATATTTTCATGGCTGTTTTAAAGTTAAAGTGTTGTAGTGCCATCTCGTAGTAATTTACAGTTATCCGTCAACCCTGAAGCGTTTTCCCGATTGTCATATAAAAGTAAGTATGATAGTCGGATGTTAGGCGTCTTCGTTAGACGACTGTATGGATGAGTAGACTGTGGTAATGCTAAGAAGCTAATCAGACGAAGGCGGGCAGGCGCTCGTCGACCGTGGTCACCACGCGCTTGCCCGCCGGCCCCGGCCACTGCCACGCGCTCTCACTCAACGCCACCAGTCACACGGGACCTGACCAATCTGTGTTTTCCTAAGGAATAAAAATGAATGTTTTAATTTAGTCATAATTTATAATAATAAATATGTTGGGACATTAATACGCAGCACCATCTAGTTCTTTGGTAAGCTAGGAGGTTTGTGTTATGGATACCAGATAGTTGATACATTATATACACATAATCATGGCTGGAAAGCATTCGTGCTTACCACACAAATGGATGCCCCCAGCGGAACTTAAACCCGCGACCGCTGACACAGCAAGTAGCGTCACTACAAACAGCCAAACGTGTCGTCAAAATAATTTGTTTATATTATTTTTTTTTATATTTTATTCTTAAGAGGATAAAGAGAAAAAAATTAAAAACTTTGTTCCCTACGTTTCTATATTTTGTAAGTAGGTACATATATATGCCAAATCCTTTCAGCAGTACAGAGGATGTACTGCGCCGACCCCAAGTAATTGGGAAATGGGCAGGGAGAAGAAGAAGAAATGTAAAAGCTTTCTTGTACACGGTACTGGTATACAAACTATATGATCCAAATAGCATTGCCCGCGGCTCCGCCCGCGTTAAGATGACCAAAAACCAAATTCTTAGGTTTTACATATTAGTATACTCTTACAATGCAGTTTTTGTATTTTTTCTTAGAAATGAGATATTTTCCCGCGGTAAAAAGTATCCTATATGTTGACCCGGATAACAAGGTAGGTATCACCATACCAAATTTCATCAAAATCTGTCCAGCGGTTTTCTCGTGATGCGGTCACAGACAGACAGACAAAAATTCTAAAAACTGTAGATTCGGCCTCTGTATCGATAATAATGTCTATTTAAATAAGATTTTCCAAAAAATATTTAATGTACAGATTCGGCTTAGTTACAATTTTATTATATGTATAGATGTGTAAGGTATTAACGTAAAATGTTTAAACCTTTAGTCTTCTTATCTTCTATAATCTATACATATTACATATAATAAAATTGTAACTAAGTACTCGTAAGTCGAATCTGTACATTAAATATTTTTTGGAAAATCTTATTGAAATAGACATTATTATCGATACAGAGTCCGAATCTACAATTTTTAGAATTTTTGTCTGTCTGTCTGTTACCGCATCACGAGAAAACCGCTGGACAGATTTTGATGAAATTTGGTATGGTGATACCTTGTTATCCGGGTCAACATATAGGTTACTTTTTACCGCGGGAAAATATCTCATTTCTGAGAAAAAATGCAAAAACTGCAAAGTAAGAGTATACTAACATGTAAAACCTAAGAACTTGGTTTTTGGTCATCTGAATGCGGGCGGAGCCGCGGGCAATGCTAGTATGTTATAAACTACACAGACCACAGAATTAAAATTATTACAAAAACCTTGTTTAACTTACTTGTGAAATATTAACAGTCTTAGCATGCATAGGGCTCTGCGGCACATTCGTCGCATTAGCGGTGAAGTAGCCGCCGGGCCGCGGCCGCAGGTGACGGTTGTGCATTTCCATTTGCACTATCTTCATAAACTCTATCTGAGCTGCTAATTTCTGTACTTCCTCCTATAAACGGAATATGTTTAATATAAATGAATAATATATATTTATAATACGGGGACTTAATATGTACGTATTTATATGTTTTTCAAGACATTTCCCAACGTTAAAAAAAGGGTCAGTACTTACAGGTAGTTGCTTAATCTCAGAAGCTTTCGATGTGCAAAGTTTATTGATCAATTTATGATTGTATTTGCAAGTTCGGTCCTACTTCAGCAAAGAATATTTTCGGGTCACTCGAATAAAATAAATAAGTATACGAGTACATCTTAGACGAAAGAGCGATGTCCTAATTTGGCGATTTCTAACTTTTCGTTCTGTATTTTATGAACGCCGAGAGACAATATCACCATGAAGCTTATACAGATATCATTTTAAACATCGCACCGGTACGGGATTACAAGTTGTCACTCTATGTCAGTTAAAACACACATTTTTTTATTTATAACATCAGAATATAATAGCGAATAATAGTCGTGACTACCATATCAATTTTCCATACCTTTAATTCCTCATTCTCCTGGAAGAGATCGGGAGGTTCATCCGGAACGAGACCGATCCCGTTGAGGGAGGAGGATGCTGGCACGCCTCGAGCGCGCGCCCTACTGTCCCATGTGTCTCCTGTCCCACGCACTACGCGTAAAACCTGCATTTGGATTACCAACATTTATTTATTCATACTCGTATATTAATTAATATAAGTATAAGTGTAATTAATATAAGTATTTTTTTTTGAGCGGAACCCTAATTCTTTTACTGTAATAAAAGTAGCCTAAGTTACTCCTTATAACATCAACTACAGTGCCAGTGAAAGTCCCGTCAAATTTTCCAACCCGTTTCGGAGATTAGCTGGAACAAACAGACAGACAGACAAAAAATTTAAAAATTGTGTTTTTCTTATAAATACCGTATATAATTCCATATGCATTTAGTAAAAAGCTGTTATTTTGACATTACAAATACACACTTTTTTTTCATTTAAAGTTATTTTTTACGTTTTAGCTGAACTAAAATTTCGCTTGTTTGTGTTTTTACATTTCTTCTACCATTTGTAGGAAGATGGATCTAAACAACGTACATACATAAGTTTTATCTGCCTAAAGTACCCTATGACAATTTACATTTAAACAACAATAAGAAGCTAGTATTCATTAATTATTAAACCTATTTTTTTTCTCTTTTTTTCTTTAGTGGCTAAGAGTAGCGTTAACAGACGCAATACTTTCTGCCAGTGTCACGTATTGTGAGGAAGACACGAAAGAATTTAAGCGCTATATATAATAGAGGCGTTTAACAAAGTAATCGGTAATATTTGACGTATCACAGAGTTACAAATGGAATTTACAAAACGCACTTACTTTAGGCAGGAACACTAACAAGACTGTAGTTGAGGTGGACAGTTGTGTTCGTATGAATCCCAATAAATATTTTATATCCGGGCCGGCTCGTGGTAGTATCAATAAGCTGAAAACACACAAAAATTGGCTTTAAAATTTTAGAAATAAGATAGATAGAAGAAAACATAAATTTTAGTTTAAACGAAATATTATTCTTATTTAATTGCGATACTACACTAGTCTATATATCTTTGCGAGGGAGTATTAAGAAAAGCTCAATCTGTTACTTTATTTATTAAAAATAAACATTCATTTAACATAAAGAAAAAATAAATATTACGATTGCAATTTAACTGTTAAAAACATTTCTCAAATTGTGAGTTTTAAATTAAAGAAAGTTTAAATTAAAGGCAGAGCTTTTTTATTGGTAAAACAGCTAAAAATGTTAACTTTTTAACTAAGTACTCGTAGGTTCACCGACTTCTAATCAATTAAACGTAATTGTTACTCCATTAGCTGTGAATATTTAATAAGACAATATACTACAGTAACTAGCTGCCTCGGTGGTGTAGTGGCTAGCATGTACGGCTGCACACCCGGAGGTCCTGGGTTCGAGTCCCGGGTCGGGCCAAGTTTAGTTATTGAGTCTTCCTGTATAGTAAGTCTCAGTAACAGCCCGGAGTTGGGAAGTTGGCGGTGTTTCACCCCCGTGCCTCGGAGAGCACGTAAAGCTGTCGGTCCTGCGCCGACACTCTCACCGGTCGTGTCGAGTGGTCGTCCCACCGGAGTATGAGAGTGATAGGAATAGAGAGTGCACGTTGTGTCTGCGCGTACACTTGAGCACTATAATATCTCCTGCGCAGTTGGCTAATCTCATTGAGATTGGCCGCCGTGGCCGGAATCGGCTAGGAGAACATCATCATACTACAGTAAAAGTACTTACTGGAACGCAATCATGAGGGAATTGACGGTAAATATGTTGTAGATCGCGATAGAGATGAGTCGAGCTTCGTTGTAGAGGCTCTCAGCGTGTCTCACGCGATAGCACACGCGCACGCCCCAAAGCAGGAAAAGAATTTCTCCTGAAAATTAAATGTTTCATTAAAACACTATAACATTTATATGTATTTTCGTATTAATATTAATTTTTAAAGATAAACTACATCATTCAATCGTTAAAAACCTAAGAATGACGATAAAAAAACACGAAATTTTCTTGAATATATTTTATTTTAAACTTAGTTTTACTTTAAATATTATGAATAAAAAACTGTTACCTATAGCTAAACTGTGGTCCCACCAATTGTATGTACATTGTTTGAATTTTAGACCTCTGTTATCTGTAATCTGTGAATGAAAATTTTAATAATATTAACTAGTATTTAAATAACTTATTTATTAACAAAAGAATTATGGAAATCGGCTTACAATTGGAATAGATATCGCCTAACTACTTGATGCTAGAACATGTAACAAAAATATACAACCGAAATGAGTACCATTTACTGTTAAAGTTTAATTTAGTTCTATTTAGCGGAACAAAACGATATTTGAGATGTTCGCAACATGTATACAGATGTTTGTAACTATGAAATTACATTCTTTTAATATTTTATTTATTAAGAATATAAAATAAAAAAAATACAACCGAATTGAGAATCTCCTTCTTTTTGAAGAAGTCGATTGAAAATTAAATAATATATATATATATATATATATATATATATATATATATATATATATATATATATATATATATATATATATATGTTGCTACTCACAACTTCAGCGTCTGGAGGCGCGGATAAAGTCCATGTTCCAAGATATACCAACATAATTAGTAGAATAGGTGCCATCCATTGCAGTAATTGTTTATCTGTCAGTTTGAGCTTGTGTGCAGACTTGACGCGATATGTTAGAGATACTCTGGAAAAATAAACAATTTATTGCGAGTGCTTTTGACAGTGATGTAGGACTTAAATCTTTTAAAAATGTAAACACAAAGATATAATATACTTTAACAATCAAGTATCAACAATATTTAATGTTTTAAATAAAACTTTCTTTCGGTTTTTCTCGCGGATTTATTTTGTTTTTTGGTCTCAATCGTGACCATGATTGCTGTTAAGCAACCGAAGCAAAAATCAAAACAAATCCACTAAAACATCCGAAAAAAAGATTAGAAGTTTTATTTAAAATATCAAATATTCGCGTAAATCTAAGGGAGTAATATTAGTGTTATATTGCTATTAATGTACCTATTTGGTTTTGTATTTTGACGATAGAAATTAGTCTTGTACTGACTGACATTTTCCTTCTACGAGTACTCTCCGCAAGGAAAGAACGTTTATCTATAGATATTGTAGATTATTTTTTCAGAATGAGTCTTAAAATATTATTAATTATTCCTAGTAGAATGTTTTATAACTTTGCTAACCTCGCACAGGTAGGAGAAGGTAGTACATTGAGTCGATTTCATACGACAGGTTGCAAGTTCACAGTTGACAGAGTTTCGTATTTTAATTAAATTTGAATTGTAAATTAAATACATAATCAAAAGTTTGTCCTGCTCGAACAAGACGAGAATATAAGATACAATATAAGCACAGCGGAGAACCAAGTGACAAGGGAAGATGAAAAGAAAAACTTATTGCTCACCGCCAAGTTTTCATAAGTAGAGCAGTGTATGTAATACAGAAGCCCATGTGCCGCGTCCATTTTGTAGCAATACAAGAATATCTGTCAAGAACAGGGAAGATCGCTGCCATCTAAAAGATATAATATGAATTACCAATATATTATTTTACATAAGTATAGATATTAAATTGTAAAATACATCGACCTATACATTTAATAGTAAATAATTGCATGTAATTGAGATGGTTATTTTTCTGTATACAAGTTTAAAACACAATTATTTTCCTACCTCCATGTACATAATGGCGCAGCCAAGCAGAGTGATGGAGAGAAAGACGGGGCTCGCCACACGGAACACCTTCACTCGTCGGTGATGACGCGTGTAAATCGTCAGTAGCACAGTCATCACCGCGCAGCTCACTGATATCACTAGCAACGATATCCTGTGAAAGTATGACAATATTGTAATTTGAGTACTCTTTCTCCTTGTTCGACTTTGTGTTTTTTCGGTCTAATCTCAGAACTACTGAACGGATTTTCATACAGTTTTCGCTAAAAGAAAGAAGTATTATCTAGAAAGTATATAGCAAATATTTTTTTTTAATATTTTTCGAAAATAAGCTACCGGTATGATGATATTTGTGAATTAATTCAAAGAATGTCGACCCTTTGAGAGATTTCATAATATTATGAATATAAAGCACATTTAGTAACGCTAGTTTAGGATAAAATAAATATATTCTGCATTGCACTTTTCAACTATATTACCTAAGTCGAAAGGAAGGCTATACATATTTAATAGTTATAACCATCCTATTGTTAGTGTATTACTAAAAGTAATATTATGTATATACATAATTGTAAACATATTTAATATTTGGCTATTACGCGTAATAAATGTTCAATTTAAAAAAAAAAAACAAAATTATAATCATTATTTACGAATAACAAAGAAATTGTACATTTTCGTTAACGCAATTTCCCTAGGGGATATATAAAGAAAACATAATCCAACGAAACCTCGTCTCTTAAACAACGAACAAGCAAATTAGATTTTACGAAAACTGATATAAATGTATGTATTACCGGAAAGGCCAATTATATGTAGCAAGACAAGGCTCTGGTCCCCGACATGAATCGCAGCCCGGTTGGCATTTCAAGCATTCATACGGTTCACTCCACCCACTACTCTCCAAGCCATTTTCTTCGTATTCTTGATATGCAACTAACGTAAATAGAGAAATATATAATAATAATATGTATATAGATAGCCTTCTATGAAATATTTACATGGTTGTACAAAAAAATGATTTTTTTTAATGTTTTTGAAGATATACTTCTTTTGGCACGCTTGGAAAAAAATATGAGCGCGCGCACACCGACAGCCAAAAAGCGACATGATGAAGTTAGTTTGTGGCATACGGGATGAAATCTTTAGATATTTTTGTGCTGTTACTCCAAAGAAGTATAACTTCTTACGTGCGTACATAAATACACACACACGTTTTTTTATTTCATTTGAGTACTATTAATAGTAAGTTTTCATTTTAGAATGAAAAATATCCACACCCACTTATTTTTTTTTTCATGAAATTAATATTTAACAACCCAGGACGTTTGAACATATTAAATATAATTTTATTTGATTTATAATATAGACGATTATAATGCATAACGTACAAAAAACACAATCAGATTGAATTTTTAAAATCGGTAAGAAAATTGCAGTTAAACCTAGTCTATAAAAAGTATATTGTAGCAAAGGAATTTGTGTCTTAATACGTATTATTGTGTAACTTACCTTCAACTAATGATCCATTGAACCCTTCTGGATGATGTATAGAATAGTAACCGGGTCTACATCGGCAGTTATATGAACCTCGTGCCCAACCGGCGAAACGGATACTTATCTCCCTATTTGGTTTGTACTCGCACTGAAAACATTCATATACATACATATATATATATATATATATATATATATATATATATATATATATATATATATATATATATATATATATAAATAAAACAAAGTCGGGTTTGTTACGAATTATAAGTCGAGAAAGGCTGGACCGATTTTGATGATCTTTGATTTGTTGGATTTGTCTCTAACTATTAAAACAACGGAAAAACTAAAGAAAAAAAATAAGGTTTTACATGGCTAACGCTTGATGATAACTATGTATATCTATTCAAAACGTACCTACGGACGAACCCGAGCGAAACAAGGATGAGCTGCTAGCTAGTAGGTATACGTATGTTTCCATCGCAAGTCGTTATGTTACAAGTAGTTTTGTTTTTAAGTTAAAACAAAAACTTCGTAAAGTGCATACATATGGAGAATCTCAACTATAATTACTTTAGTTCCGACTTTCCTAACTACAAAATTATGTTAAGGCTTCCTGTAATTTGCTTGTTTCTTTTTATTATAGACTATTAATTGTACGATTCTAATTTCTTATAAATCATATTCATCTTATATTTTGTTCGAATTTCTTCTTCTCCTACGCGGTTTGACCGATTTTGATGTGTTTTTTTGAATTCTCCGACCAAAAAGGTCTGTGGTAGAAAATGTTCTGCGGGGTTATACTTAGTATAATATACATATAATTTTGTTATCTGAAAAGGCCTTAAAGTTATGAAAAAAATGTGACCAGTTTTATTGAAAATAATCATGTCAAATTATACTTAAAAATGTATAAAACTCAACTGTTAAAGCAATCCAAACATTTCATTGCACCACAAACAAAATTATTTCAAAATGCCTATTTTAATTACATTCTAAAGGATTAGTTGTGGTAGTAAATCTGCTGAAGTTTAAATTCATCAACATGAATCGTAATAGTCATAACTTTGAACAGATTAAATTGCACGTGAATACTGAATACAACGCATAAACTCAGTTAGTCCAGATAACATTGCCTTCCTATGGAACAAATGAGTGTATTTATTGAATAATCTATACAGATAAATAAAATTTAAGTGTCTGTTTGTAATGTCAAAATAACAGCGTTTTACTAAATGCATATGTAATTGTATACGGTACTTATAAGAAAAACACAATTTTTAAAATTTTTGTCTGTCTGTCTGTTTATTCAGGATAATCTCTGAAACGGCTGGACTGATTTTGACGGAACGTTCACTGGGATATTGGGAGACATAGGCTACTTTTATTTTAGAAAAAGTGCTAGGGTTCCGCTCAAAAAAATGAAAACGTACTTAGGGACAAATCCGAGCGAAGCGAGAGTGAGTCGCTAGTACTAAAGTAAATATATGAATAAAATTACTGACTGAATATACTTAAACATACGTTCAAAACAAATGCACACTTAATAATTTAATTTTCCAGTTGCATTAGATAAATAGAACTACGCGTACTGTGTTTATTTTAGTTGAATTATGTACATCGTAACCACCATACTACACTGCTGTATAGTAGGTAATGTCGACTATCCATCACCGTCTAAGGAAAGTAGGTACCTACTGCATAATATGGACTATTCATCAAGGTATAATTTTTAAACCTTTCAACCGATAGAATTTAAACTTGGCTATTTTTCAAGTCTACATAAATTCATTACAAGCTTTTGATTTTTAACTTGCAATGTATGGTGGAATCTTGCAACTCAATTTTGAAGCAGATATCTTCAACCGATTGAGCTGAAATGTTGTGTACACGTTTAGTTTGGATGACAAACCATGGCTAGCTGTGTGACGTCATTCATTAAATCCAACATGGCGGAGCACCCAGGATGGCGGACTAGTTATTTTTAATGCACTCCTACAATATAGGTATCAAAATTAAAAGGGCTTGCTGATAATAACCCGAAAAATAAAGTGGCGTCACACTAAATCCAATATGGCGGCACCTAAAGATGGCGTACAAGTATTTTTTTATGCATCCTCATGATATGGATATCAAATGAAAGGGTCTGTGTTGATAAACAAGAACATTTAAAATAGGTAAATCTCGCGACAAGCTTTTATATCATTTATATTGTGTAATATAAATTGTTGAGTTTGATTTAATTTAAAGTTTATGTTTTCATTTTAGAGCACCTTTAGAGCATGAAAAGCTTGTTTTTAAAAATATTTTTTTTTATTTTATTTCTACTTCATGATGAGCTTTTACTCTAAGTCTGAGATTATTTTACAGTTATACAATATATGTATAAATAAACAACTAATGACATATTAACTTACATATGTAGTCTCATTGGGGCACTTATGGGTTCCATGAAACGAGTAAATTTGGTTATCATTTTCCGACTCATCATCTACTTCGCACTGGTTTATTTCCAAATTAGATATATCAATGTCTAACGAAACAACGCCTTTTAATCTGAAAAGAAAGATTTATGTTACTTTATCCTTTCATTATCTAGTTGTCTTAAATGACAAGAAAGAATTTTCGGCTCGTTGAGTTTTATATGCCAAGTCATCTTAAGTATTGAAAGTTCAAGTATTAACTATACTAGAAATAAATGTCTTAAAATTTTTCTAACAACGTTGAAGCAACAATAATAATTTCAAACAATATCGTTACAAAAGTATTTTGAAAACTGAAATATTAAATGAAATTTTCATGAATGTTAACAAATGTAAATTCTAATAGTAATTAATATTTATTGGGCAAGAAATGAGTTTTGGAAAACTTTCTACTTCTTGTAAGTCTTAAAATAGCAAACCAGCTATTTTAGATTTACATAATAGACAGAGAATATTTGGATATTTTTATAATATACATAATTTAAAGAGACAAGTTAGAAATAAAATATGCTGCGTCCTACTCTATGCCGAAATACTTAGTACAGGCATGCCACTAAGCGACTTGTATGCAATTTTGCTCGCAAAGGAATCCACAGAGTGCCATTTACTGGCACACCCCATTACTTCTTATGCAAACAACTTGCCCGGTATTAAACCGGGGAAAAAAGTACAAAGTAGTAGCAAAATTACATTTGTATTCCCGTCTTTATAAAATGAATAAAATTTACCCACGAATTGTTGATACAGGAACCGTGTAAGATAACAACCAGCGCTTAGCCTCGCAACTGTAGTATGGATACGTCCACCATCCCTCCATAGTGGCTCCTGGTGGTGACGGCATGAACTTTGGAGATCTTAAAGTTTCACTTTCTTGTGCTGAGACATACCTAGATTTAAATTAAAATTTAAAAAGAAAACTTATTTCCGTGTTCGCACCGGTGACTGTATGATTTTGTAATATCACAGATTTTTTTTTGGAGGCTAATTTATTTACATAATATGTCGGTTTCATTAGACTCAACGTTACTTAGGATACTTGCTATAATACTAATTATATGAGCATTATAGCTAATTTAATGTGATTTTAATCCTATAACTTCGATATTTTATTGCAAAATCTAGTATAAAAGTAATACCAGGGATATTCAGGGTCAGGAGGCTTTTCAAGCTGTGGCGATACAACTGCCACAGGTTCTGCTGTCCCATATCTCTCCCAGGCGACTGCGCTGTTCACCACGCCGTCGCTTCTCAACGCTAGAGCTCGTGCACCAACTGCACGCTCTGTTGCACTGCCTCCCAGAACCAAACCTTGAGATACAGCCATAAGGACTTCTGAAACAATATTAAACAACATAGTAATACTTTCTTAGATTTACGCGAATATTTGACATCTATACTAATATTATAAATTTGAAAGTTTGTAGGTATGGATGTTTGTTAGTCTTTCACGCTAGAACAGCTTAACGGATCTGGATGAAATTTGGCACAGAGATAGATTATAGTCTGGAATAACACATAGGATTTTTATCCCGGAAAAATGTATGGTTCCCGTGGGATAGGTTTGTTTTTGTTTTCCTAGAGGCAAAACCGTGCGAAGCGAGTGTGAGCCGCTAGTTTTAAATAAAACTATCTTTCCGGAATTATCCACAAATTATGGATAGATGCTGTCTGTAACAACTATATAAAACTTTCGAGAAGCGTAAAACCTTAGACACTCCCGTGACCATGACTGCTGTAAAGCATTCGATACGTCGCATCGGGAACCAAAAATTAAAATAAATTCGCGAAAAAGCCCGAAAAGATAGTTTTATTTAAAACGACATAGTAATGTCCCTTCTGACTACTACCCAAATGAAATACAGCGATCGTATACGAATATCGTATACATAATATGTATTCGTAGTAATTGAGAACATTTTTTCATTTGTAAAATATATTTTTTTGTGTATTTATAGGGCAAAAGCTAATTATTTCTGTTTTTATTGGGAGCAAAATAGTTAAGGTAATCAAGCAACACGAAAATTTCAAGTTTAATTTTAAATATCTAATATTATAGAAATTTACCGAATTTGTAAAGTCAAATAATTCGAAAGCAGCAATAACATTATAGCAAACTATTTGAGAAACGTGCGAAAGTTTGTAAGCTGTTGTGCTAAAGTTATTTCTGCACTAATGCATTTGGAACTTGGAGAACTATAAACAGAACTATCAACTAACATAACGATGAACAGATGATTTTGAACAAATACTATTAATTCGTACTTTCTAATTCTATAAGAGTAAATTCCGAATCTTGTTAGTTTGTTAGTTTTACGTATATTGTTATTTTTATATTATATTTCAATACTTATCAAATTAATTTTATTTATTTAAATTAAGTAATTATTTTTTAAATTAATAATATGTTTTTTATTAATAAAAAAATAACAATTTAATTTTTAAATTCTTTATGTGCGTTTGTGTGTGTTACTCTCTCACATTGAAACGCCTGAACGAATTTGGATGAAAAATTACACAGATAGAGTATGACATGAAGTAACACATGAGCGAAGCAAAGTAAAATCTTCAGTTTTGTTTATAAGTAAAGCCAAATATTTATGACTCCTATTAGGTAAAATTGTATATAAAAAAATACAATCATATACTAATAATGAAAAAGGTAAATTATCGGATCGAATATTCATTTATCTCTATATTATAAAAGCTAATGGTTTAGATTAAAGCCGTACAATGATAATCTTAGTGTTATCTTAAAGTCATTAACTTGGAGCCGTAGTGAAGCAGCTCTCTAGACTAGAACCACTAATTAGATGAAGCCTTTGAACTACCTCTCAGATAGTATATATAGTTGCTACCGTATGGTCTATTAGGAACCTACCTTCATTGAATCTGATTATAATGGTTCCATGAAGTGAAATTTAGTTCTTTTAACACATTTAATTTACCTATATTTTATGTTTTTGAATAAATAAAACGATAATTAAATCGATTTAGCCGTTCTTAAGTGATGAACCTACAAACGAACAGCATTTCATTTATATAGATTACAACGAGTAAATCAGTACGTATGTTAGGTCATATCTACGTCGTAGAGAATAGAATTTAAATGTATGGTAGTGTTGAAAATTACTTTATAAATATTAGAAATGCATTGCCACAGGAAAAATATTCATTTAACTCTATACTTACCAGCGTTTTCTAAGCCAAGTTGATGTAGGATATTGGCGGCAAGGTCTGCACGAGCCCTCGCAGCGTCCCAACGGGAGGCGTACATGGGAGCGCGAAGCCGACCGTAGTGATATGTGACACAGAGCGCACCTGTAGCGCCCGTTGCAACCGCGTGCACCAGACGTAGAGAAGATTCCAATTCCTCCTACAAAAGTAATTACAGCTGTAATCATACAAGCTTTCAAAACTTATAATATGCGATATTATGAGTTTCAGGGTATTTGTACTTTAAGCGTTATTTATACGAAAAGAGCTTATTTGGGGCACTATTTGGGGCAAGAGATCTTATGTTTATAGCGTACGTAGTGATTACTCTAATATGATATTGATAACTATAACGAAGAACTAAAATCTTGCCTACGATTATGTCATGTGAAATTCGCAAACAAATTATAATTTTTCCATAGGTCAAATTATGAGTAGATTGTACATAATATATCTTTATGTTATAATAAATATCGTATATAGGTGCCTACTTATATAGTAATGGTATACGGTTTACATGGCTTACTATTTACTTTTTGTCTTATTTAAATCCTGGAGACTCGGGACGGGTTTCTCTTTATTTCGTATATGACCCTTATAAATTCTACTCCATTTTAAATATCTTCCCGGGTGCTATCTATTTTATGAACATTCTGAGAAAATAATGACCGGTATGATGATATTTGTGAATTAATACAAACAATATCCTCTTTAAGAGCTTTCTTAATGTAATAAACGCGAAAGATAAAAATAAATACACAATCTCAGGCACTCATGTTATACTAGATTTTGAAACACAGCATTTACGGTGATAACGAGATTTGTGACATATCTGGTTAATAAATATCTGTTAATAAATTTAATAAAGTGATAACGACTGCCGTGTGAGGAGGATAATTTTGTTTTATAAAAAGCTTATCCGGCTATCCAAACGGTTTAAAATATTAAGCCGCGCACAAAACCAACACAATGGTACACGTACGTACGTATGAAAATGTTATTTACATAGTCAATGATTGTTTATTGCGTTTCTTTAATTTATTTCATTGCTGTTAAGTTAATGAAAGGTAGGTTTATCCTGAAATTGTAATTGGTAGAAGAAATAAATTGGGGTGAATAAATAGCATTGTACCATTTTTATACGGCAGGGGTCGTAGCTTCGATTTTAATATGATGATGATGTTCTCCTAGCCGATTTCGGCCACGGCGGCCAATCTCATTGAGACTATCAACTGCGCAGGAGCTATTATAGTGCACAAGTGTACGCGCAGACACAACGTGCACTCTCTATTCCTGTCACTCTCATACTCCGGTGGGACGACTGTTCGACACGACCAGTGAGAGTTAAGGCGCAGGACCGACGGCTTTACGTGCTCTCCGAGGCACGGGGGTGAAACACCGCCAACTTCCCAACTCCGGGCTGTTACTGAGACTTACTATACAGAAAGACTCAATAACTAAACTTGGCCCGACGCGGGACTCGAGCCCAGGACCACCGATTGTGCAGCCGTAGCATGTACGGCCACTACACCACCGAGGCAGATTTTAATATAGAGTGATAATTGTAATACAAATAGAAATAATTTCGGCCCTGAAAATTATTCTCAAAGTGGATTAAATTGTGGTAGCCCAGTGATAACGCGCTTAAAAACCCGAGTGATGCGGGTTTAAACCCCGGGTCTCGCACCTTTGTATTTTCATATTTTGCGAATCATTTCCAACATGATTACCACTTACCACAGTGAAAAAACATTGTGAGAAAACAAATATTTTAAAGTAATTTTGGAGTCAATGTACCTTTTTGGTCAAAAAGCTATTATTTTTCCTAGTTTTAGATATAATCGAATTTTAGGATTCGATTTGATATTGCGAAAGGCGGAGAAAGGAGAATCTAGACTCTGTCAAACTTGGTATGGGAAAGGGCGTGAAAATATGTGTTTGTGTGCCTATGTATGTTACATTATACCAGTATTCTCATACTTGTCATTCGATACATGTCAGCGGGACGTTTAAAAAAGGCTAAATAAAATATTATTGAAATCTCTAACTAATACCAACAATAAAGCAAAATCAAATTACAATATAACTTTGTTTATATCGTAAGGGCTTTCTAAAGTTATATATGTATATATTTAATTTAAAGGTGATTAATGGCAGGCTAGGCAGTGGTAGCCCAGTGGTAACGCGATCGCTTGGGAAACCGAGTGAAGCGGGTTCAAATCCCGGCTCTCACACCTCTGATATTTTCATGTGCGAATCATTTCCAACATGATTACCACTTGCCTTACGGTGAAGGAAAACATCACGAGGAAACCTGCATGTCTGAGAAAACTTAGCTAGTTTTCGAAAGACATGTGAAGTCCGCCAACCCGCACTTGGCCAGCGTGGTGGACTATGGCCTGATTCCCCTCGTACTGAAGGGAGGCCCGTGCCCAGCAGTGAGACGTTAAAAAGGGCTGAATACATACATACAATGGCAGGCATTCTTCGTATTTCAGAAATTAATAGCAATCGAAGCAGCTTCGGATTCAGCAGAAATGCAATACGTCGCAATTACGTTCTATGTGCTGACCGTTTGTTAGAACTGTCCGACCAATCTGGATTCACACAGTATAAATCTCCCAGCTATGATATTAGTACTAATTTATAGCCCTGCTTTAGAGGTTTAATCGTGCAATTGAAATATTAAATGAATTACGTTAATTAAACTTAAATTTCATTTTAGCGGTTCGACAGAATTTTGATTTATGATAAATTTAATTAAATTCAATATGCTTTGATAAATAATTGTCCGAAAATTGGCCAGTGCTCTTTCATTAAGTAAGAATAGCTTATTAATTTTATATTAAATTATACTTTAAAATATTGATTATTTCATTAAAAAAAATACCTTTATTCATGAAATCGTATTTACAATATTTTACGCTGAGCCTTCCAGAAAGTAATCGAAAATATGTACTAATTTAAATTTTTTATACATGCACAAATATGCCTGCATAAATAAAAAAGATATGGATTTGTATTATGTATACGACACGCTTGGCTCAGTTTTTAGTGACCCTACTTTCTGTGCCAACGATCGCGGGTTCGAGTCCCGCTGGGGGTATTCATTTGTGTGCTGACGAATGTTTGTACTCCAGTCATGGGTGTTTATATTTATAATATGTATGTATTTAAAGTTATATATATGTAGTGTATCAACTATCTGGTATCCATAACACAAGCCTCGTAGCTTACCATGGAACTAGATGGCGCTGTGTGTTAATGTCCCAACGTATTTATACATGTAAATACTCTTACTTATATACATAGATAAAGAAGGAACGACGTGCTAAAGCTATTTCCTTAAAAATTTTAGTTCTGTAATGGACTAAAAACTTTACTTGAACAATTAAACTTAAGCCTGAAATCATGTATTAAAATGAAATTAATATAATTTATTTTGTGTACATCGTTATGTAAATCTATACATATAATGAAATTGTAACTAAGCCGAATCTGATGATTAAATATTTTTTGGAAAATCTTATTGAAATAGACTTTATTATCGATACAGAGGCTGAATCTATAGTTATTAGAATTTTTATCTGTCTGTCTGTTACCGCATCACGGGAAAACAGTGGCTATATATATATATACATATATATATATATATATATATATATATATATATATATATATATATATATATATATATATATATATATATGTATATTAGACTGATTCAAAAAAACCGACTATTTTTTTTTTTTATATTGAAAATATTGTCAGAAATGACGAAAAAAAAATCCTGTGAAAGCTAGAGCTTTTAATATTAATATTAAGAGGTGCCGAGTGGAAAATTTCGATTTCCCATTTGATTAACGTGGGAAAAAATTTTTTTCTTACTTTGGAATTCTGTAGCTCTTTAACAAGTCATCGGATTGGTTGAGTCAGAACATATTCTTGTAGAGAATTGAACGCTCTACAAAAAAGGTCTCTTATGATTTTTTGATATATTTACTTTTTCAAAAGTTATTCAACCCTAAAGATGAATTGATTCAAATTTTTTACATTTTTCTAATTTTCCGACGCAACCATCAACTTTATGAGAAAATTTAATAGGACTTTTTTGTAAAACATTCAATTTCCTATAACTTATCTCTCAAAAAATTAAAAATTTTTTTACAGATCGTAAGTTATTTGCAAAAAACTAAATTTTTTTTTAAAAAGTTGTTATTTTTATTCTTAATATTAATTTTAATATATATATATATATATATATATATATATATATATATATATATCTCCAGTGGGATAGATTTGATAAAGGTTAAAACGTATTTAGGAACGAACCCGAGAGGAGCGAGGGTGAGTCGCAAGTTGCCTATAAAATCGTTTCCTTAAAAACTAACATTAAGTAGAATTATTTAATAAATACAAAGTGACGCATATTTAAGATATGTTTTGTCATAGTTTGTCAAGCTTTTCTAAAAGCTCATAATCACCACTTTTAGTTATTACTAGTATTGCCCGCAGCTCCGCCCGCGTTCAGACGACCAAAAACCAAATTCTTAAGTTTTACATATTAGTATACTCTTACATTGCAGTTTTTGTACTTTTTCTCAGTAATAAGTCATTTTCCTGCGGTAAAAAGTATCCTATATGTTGACCCGGATAACCAGCTATCACCATACCAAATTTCATCAAAATACCTCCAGTGATTTTTCTGTGATGCGGTAACAGACAGACAGACAGACAGACAAAAATTCTAAAAACTATAGATTCGTCCTCTGTATCGATAATAATGTAAATTTCAATACGATTTTCCAAAATATATTTAATGTACAGATTCGGCTTAGTTACAATTTTATTATATGTAAAGATGTGTCCATGCAAATACGAACCCTCGTAGCTTTAGTTTAAGTCATCTAATTGACGTACACAAGTGATCATTGAATTGATACAATGTGTAAAAAAAAGTAAATAAAAAAAAAATAAAATAAATAAAATAATAAAAATAAATCCAGTGAGATTAAATTGACGTCAGTGCGGTCAAACGTTCTAAGCTAAATATGTACCACTCTGGTTCAATGAAGAGCATTTGCTATTTAAAGAACCCTTCACGCTTAAGGGTTTATGCGTAATAATATATTTATTTATTTATTAACTATATATTTA